AACAATAAGTCCAAACAATAATTTCTCATCTATGTATATTGCATACATTTTCATTTTCAAAACGATATTTTACAAACTCATACAATACCAGAGAAGTTTTACTACTTTTACATCTTTTATAACTCGTTTAACCATTTCAATTTAGACTTGAATATGATATTTTCTCAAATGTAATTAAAAGACTACTAGTAGTTTATTTCACTATTATCAATGTTATTTTCCAAGTCATCATCAAAAACACTAGGTTAAAGGAAAATTTATCTGCCATAGGTAATTCTAAGGAGTCGTTTGGTAGGGTGTATAAGAAAAGTGCGGAATAAGGTGTATTAGTAATGCGTGAATTAGTAATGCATGAATTAGTAATGCATGCATTAGTTATGCAGATATTATTTCTTATCTACTGTTTGGTGTGGTGTATTTAAAATTATAATGCATTGCATAATTTTTAAGAAAAATAGTTGACAAAAATGCTCTCCATATTCTCTAGCTTTAAGGGACTTTAAGGACAATATTGTCTTTAACCATACTAATGCATGCATTAATAGCCTTGGTATTACTAATGTCGTGATTTTCTATGCAATACTTATACATAGGATAATACCATGTATGAAGTATAACTAATACAAGTATTAGTTATACACTAATTGAAAAAATATACCAAACAAGGTATTAGTAATGCATAGAGCTAATGCTTGCATTATTTTTTTTAATACATCCTTCCAAATGACCCCTAAAAGTTATTTATGGATAATAATTACCATTTAATTTAATCACTTTCCATAGGTACAATGATTTTCAATTACTCATCATAGTTATACCAAATACATAGAGTTATTCCACTGTAATCTTTTCTCTCAACCTCCTCTCTCTTTCTTCTCCCTCAACTCTCTCTCCTTCTTCCCTCTCGCTTCTCCATCGGCCAACTACCGTCCAACTCCATCGCCGCCATCAACCACTCCATCTCCTTCCTCCTTCTGGTTTTTCACCGTCACAGAAGAGAGAGACAGATGGAGACAACAAAAATAGAATGAGAAAAAGCGAACGGTAGCAGCAGAGAAGTCGCCGTCGATCATATTCTCCGGCGGAGCTCTACCGAAGCCCAACCAAACAGTCGCCTCCCTTCACCACGAATCATCCTTAAAAACCGTCGTCACCCACCGTCAGATCCAGACCTGAAATCACGAAGTTGCGACCAACCCATTACCGGCGGGGAAAATAATGGAGGAGGAAAATTGGAGGCGTCATCGGATCTGGATATGATGGAGATGCTGGAATCCATGACTTCTTCTTCTTCTTTGTATCTCACATCTGGTGTATTAGTCTCACCAGAAACTTATTCCTCCACCATGCTTTTCACGCCGGAAAAAGGAGCCGCCTTTTCTCCTCCACTGCCTTTCACGCCAAAAAATTGGTGTATAAATACGGTGTAAGTGTATTTTGTATTTCATTAGAGATCTAAAATGTATTTTGTATTTTCGCCGGAGACCCGTCGGGATTTGATTGTATTTTTTATTTTTAAATACAGTGTATTTTATATTCTAGTCGAAGATTTAACCGGATTTGACTGTATTCTTCATTTTTAGTGTAAATACAGTGGTATTTTGTATTTCTCCTGAGATCCCATCGTGTTTGATTGTATTCTTCTTTTTTAAATATGGTGTATTTTGTATTTACGTTGGAGATTTGACCGAATTTGATTGTATTCTTCATTTCGTTATTTTTAGTATAAATACATTCAAATACAGTTAAATACGTTCAACCTTGCAACATCAAATAGGGTTGGATATAACTGAACAGTGTATTCAAATACGCTCAGATACAACGAATTGTCCAAAACTAACTACGAAATGTAATAAAATATAGCCATGGGTTGTTAAAACTCCTTAAAAGGTAGTGGTTTATGTAGGTTAAACTACTACGCCAATTGAATCTCACATCATATCAGGTTTCCCTTCGATTCACCGCTCAAACCGTCAAACATAAGGATGTTGAGTCAATAGTTAATTTCTCAATTTGAACTTTAATCTACCATATATTTTTTTTGTTTTTTCTTGGTGCTTGTCCACGTATTAATTATTTAATGAAAGAATAAAGAAAATCATTCTAAATTTAGAGTTTGAAGCTACGTCAAGGTAAGTAAATTGAAGAACGCAATTTATATCCATCATGGTGTTAAATGAGTGTGACTACCAAGTACCAAGTACACAAGTTATTTACATGTTTTTATTTAAAGAGAGATCCATGCATATAATTTGGATGTCTCTATATAGTGAAATGAAATATGTATCATGCCAAGATAGAGCCGTAAATATGGGCTTGGCCCGGTAGGCCAGCCCAGCCCGTGATTTAGCAGGGCTGGGCTAGATTTTTTGGAGCCCATTTAAAAACGAGGCTTTTAAGCCCGGCCCGAGTAAGCCCGTGGCCCGTGAGGCTTGACTGAAGCTGGGCTGGGCTGGCCCGTGGACCTAATAAAAATATGTATTTGAAATATATAAAATATAAAAAGTATACAACACAAAAAATATCAAGAAGAGTATTCAAGCTTAAAGTTTATTAAGCTCATCACATTAAAAGATCAAAGTCTTAAAACATTAATTAGTTTTAAAATTTTAATTATTCTTAATATTTAACTAATTAATATTGCATACAAATTGTAGACGTAGATGAAAGTGAAGATATTAAGACAACCTTCTCACAAGCGGATTCAAATGTGTTTGATGAAGATGATGTGTTGCATATCCCGTAAGCATCATGGACGTTCTCTTTAATAGTTTGTTTTGAGTTTTGACTTTTAGTAAATGAAATATTAGTCTTGTCTTTTGTTTTTTTCGTGTTTATAATATATTGAAACAGTATAAAAAGTTATTAAGTTTTGTGAAATTTTTCCAATTAGATTTTTTTAACTTTTAAATATTTGTCTTTTTAGGTTAGAACTTAAAGAAAAAATATAAAATTATATTTAAAAAAATATTGGGTCGGCCCGTGGGGGCCCGCGGGCTGGGGTGGGCTGACCATTATAAGGCCCATCAAAATGGTTGGCTAGCCCAGCCCAGCCCAGCTCGTCAATTGCTAAAGCCCACGTGGGCTGAGCTGGGCTAGCCCGGCCCCGCCCATATTGACAGCTCTATGCCAAGACGTTAAATAAGGAAAGAAAACACATAATTGTGGAATGGTAAGCATTTATCCGGGGGTGAAAGGCCGGTCTTGAATTCGATATGCTCTACAATCTTTTTTTTTCCTATTTATAAGAAGGATCTCTTCTTCTCTTAGAAATCCTAGAAGACACATTTAGAACTAAATATGTTACAATTTCTTTTTTATAACCAGTGGTAAACATTTGAAACTAGATAATGGACTTGCACTCTTACCACTAGACTAAAGCCAAAAAATCATATAAGCTGGTACGGCGCAAAGAACGAACTCTATGGAAATTTATGGAGAACCTACAAGCGAGCATTCAAGATGTAATTTTCATATTCATTAAAATTACTCATGTAAAGGATAGGCTGGTGGCATTTACAACCCAAAAAAGAAAAAGAAAAAAGCAAGCGATTCAACCCTTTAAAAACTATTAAAAAAAAGGATTATTTATTTCTGACGTTTGGGCACCTGCCAATTGAGAACAACTCTTAAACAAGGGAGTGGAGCTGCAAAAAGCTTGAAAATTAAAATTGTCATATCTGAAATCATATGAACAAGTTTGCTGGCCTCAATGGGGCAAATCAGGAGTTAAGAAAAAAAAGACAAAATTGAACTAGCAAAACAAGGTATTGTAACATTGAGGGGATATTCTTTCATTAATTTACAGCATAATTTTCTGGCAACTGAAAGCCATAAGCATTACTTACAATGGGAACCAGCATCAAGGATTTGCCTTCGTCCAGGAATCAGGACAGACATGCTGGTGCAAGAGCAAGATTGGGGATGTTGGTGCTTGAACAACCACCGAGTCCAAGACTAACCGTTCCGTGTTGGAGAGTAATGAATCACTTGGAAAACCAATTTGAGAAGACCTAAGTTGCTCGGACTCGGATGCTGGTCCAGGGGTCAAATCCTTCATTATCTAAATTTTAAGATTCGGGTACAGATCCAGCTACTACCAGGGGCGGCTCAATAATATATGTGGCCTAAAGCCAAACTTCAATGAGGGGCCTAAGCTTTTTGTTATATATATATATATATATATTATATATATATATATATATATATATATATATATATATATATATATATATATATATATATATATTTGAAGTTTATTTTCCTAGCTTTTAGAGATGTAAAATTATTAATTATTTATTTATAAAATGTTTCAAATGCACAATAATCAACATGATTCAACAAATAGATATAACTACATATATTTTTGCTGCTTCAATATTCTTGACGCAATGCAAAAAAATTGAGAACAAGCAAAAGAGGTCACAATTGTATTTCTGCTCTTTTATTTTATGAATAGTTTATAAAATAGTTACTCATACATTAACACTTGGATTCTAGAGAAGGCCAAACGAGTGTAGCATAGTAAAAGTGAATGCACTTTTGCATAGAAAGGTTATAAAGAGAAAAAGAATGTGGGCACATTAATAGTGATGTTTATATATTTAGAAAAATAAGGCAAGAAGGTAAATGTTCACACTGCTAAATAGGGAGTGAATCCCAAACTACTACTCTCTTCTCCAAAGGTCCCATCTTTCCTTGAAAATTATGTACTTTATTTTAAAATATCTAATATTCTTAAAGAAAAATTGACATATGTAACTACAACTGTTAGGAAATGGGCCCCGCAAAGTAGGTGGCCCAAAGCAGCCGCTTCATCTGCTTTATCGTTTGGTCGCCGCTGCCAGGTACGGATACGGATACGGGTACGGGTTTTATGCTAAAAATAATACAAACATCTAAATAAAGTTATAAAAATGTCTACTTAATGAGACACTATATGAAAACTTACAATATATTCTGAGAAGGAGAATATTAATCAAGAGGAGAATACAGGAAGGAGATAAAAGGAAAAAGACTGACATAAAAATTTTTATATACAAGGTATTCTATTTTCTTCAATTTCACCCTAGCTTTTGTTTTGCTTAAAAAATTAATTGTATTTGTTCCGAATTTCTCCGTTGATTTTGGTAAAAGTACCCAAAATTGGTTGACCAAATACGGTACGGATCCCACACCCACACCCATATCGTGTCGAAACGGGTGTGGCACCAAAAATAAAGAGTCCGAGCAACTTAGTCGAAGAAACAATTGAAGTCGACAAACCATTGTTACATAGGTTATCATCACCTTCAGATGGAAAACCACTTGAGAGAACAATCATGGTAATCTCTCAAAACAGAATTTGGTGTTGAAGGCACATTAGAATTCGGTGTCTATGGACAGTATTTGGCATAACATAGACTTGAGTCCTGACCGCAACGTAACTAGTATGGAGTTGCTTACCGGACGGTACTGATCCACTATCCTTCGGATCAGTTAACTTGCGCTGCATTGGCAATACAATGGGAGTCTCATACTGAATATCTGAGTCAGCATGATTTTACTGCAAATACAGATAGAGTTTCTGCTGTAGTTATTGGTGTGCAACACTTTGCAGAAGTGCTAAATTTGCTGCCTGATGTCATTGGAGAGGATTCACCAGGAAGTGATTTTGAAGGCAGACTACATGCAAATGAGAAAGCCAACTGTTTCTTTTTTGAACAAGAGACAATCAGCTCATATTTCATGCCAGAATCCTCATCCTGAAACTCAACCTTCGATTTTACTGACAGCAATCCATCATGTGTATGTCCAGATGGCCACTGAATTTGTAGTGATAATGTTTCCTGCGCAGATGATTGATCAGACGGAGATGATGGGGCAGCTAAAGGCGGAAAAGGCATCAACTAGGCTTCCATTAAAAGTGTAGCAGTCTGCCAAATCTCATGTTCATAGGCGTTCATGGATAAGGAGTAAAAGTTCCTGAACTAGAAGGCATAACTCATTAGAGACTAGAGTGCACATAATTTTGAATATTATTTGAAAAACTTCTTTAACTTGTTCATCTTTAGCAAAGGATAAAATCCAAGCTGCACAGATCTGTAAATTCTTTAAGACAAAATCGTTTTGGAAAAAAAAAGTTGGATTCTATGAGATAGTGAACTGAAAAATGAGTTTGCAATGCAAAGTCAAGGGTAGTTACTCTAAGGTGTTAGAGCTTTATTTATTAGTATACAGAATGTGAGGAAGCACGGAAAAAATATGTTGATATGATATTTTGATATAATACAAGGAGTCCCATTTATAACCAGTGTTTTTGAGAGCGCGAAGCGCAAAAATGCGACAAGGGCTCGCCTCGCTTCAAAAGCGAAGCGCACGCTTCATTAAAGTGAAGCACAATTCTTTAAATACATATAATATATATAATAATTAATTTATAAACTGAAATACATTTTAAAATTAATCAAATAAACTGAAAATATAACATATATATAATAAGTAATTTTATAAACTAATATACATATTAAAATTAAGAAGAATAAAGGGGGAAAAAAAAAGAAAACAGCGCCTGCCCTAGCTGTGCAGATGCTGGACGAGAAAAAGTGAAAAAGAAGAAAAAGAAGAAGGAAGAAAGAAGGAAAAAGAAAGAAAAAAAAAGGAGAATCTGGACATGAAGAAGAACGAAAGAAGAAAGAAAAAAATAAGAAGGAGAAGAAGAATTTACCTGGACCGGAGAAATGGCAGAAACCCTAGTTTTGTGATGAAGAAGAGGAAGACGTCTGTTTACACTCTGTTTTGTCGAGGATCTGTAATAGCGAGCTTAGGGGTCTGTTTTGTATAATTTACAAACAGACCCAATCTTTTTTTTTTTAAAAAGGGCCCAGCTGCGATTTTTTAACAGAAGCGATCGCTTCACTCGCTTCGTCGCCTTGTCGCTTTTTTCACTGAAGCGTGCGCTTCACACGATCGCGTCGCCTCAGGCAGTAAAAAGCGATGCCCTGTCGCTTCGCGCTTAAAGCGACGAAGCGGTCGCTTTCCCAAACACTGTTTATAACTATGCTCTACACATTACATATACAACTATTCCAATGTGGGACACTAAACCTACACAAAATCTATCTAACGCTCCCCCTCAAGCTGGTGCATATAAGTTATTTATACCGAGCTTCTTGCAGATGTAACTAATACTAGGACCAGTGAGGGACTTTGTAAAAATATGATCATTTGGCTTCACAAACTTTGTAATAATATCTCCTGAGAGCATCTTTTCTCTGACGTAGTGACAATCAATCTCAATGTGTTTAGTCCTCTCATGGAACATTGGATTTATGCAATATGAAGGGCAACTTGGTTATCACACACAAGTTCGTTTCATCTGACTGATTTCACCAAATTTTAATTCTTTAAGCAACTGTTTGATCCAAACTAGCTCACATGTAGCCACAGTCATTGCTCGATATTCTGCTTCTGCACTAGATCGAGGACCACATTCTGTTTCTTGCTCTTCTAAGACACCAAATTACCGCCTATTAAAACACAATAACTAGACGTAGAACGTCTATCAGAGGTTGATCCTGCCCAATCAACTATATGTGTATCCAACGATCTACTCATGGCCTCGATCCTCGAACAATAGTCTTTCGTCTGGGGCTGATTTTATGTATCAAAGAATATGAACAATTGCATCCCAGTGACTATTGCAAGGAGAGTCCATAAATTGACTTACAACACTCAAAGAAAAGGCAATGTCTGGTCGAGTCACTATGAGGTAATTCAACTTACCAACTAGACGCCTATATCTTGAAGGATCGCTAAGAGGCTCCCCTTGTCCTGGAAAAAGTTTAGCAGTCGGATCCATAGGAGTGTCAATGGGTCCACAACCCGTCATTCGTGTCTCCTGAAGAATATCTAAGGCATTCCATCTAAAAATTAAGCTATTAGAGAGAGCACACTTTTATTTACTTAATTATATCTTCAACATGCCTCCTCACGTGCGGGCTTGATTCTTTTTGATGAGCCAAGCACGTGAAAATTCTTTTTGATATTGTGTGGCAGTGAGACTCGAACCCAAGAACTCTGCCTGCTCTGATACCATGTGAAAAAGCACGGGAAAAATATATTACCGATATGATATTTTGATATTATACAAGGAGTCCTATTTATATATATGCTTAACACAATACATATACAACTATTCCAATGTTAGGGATGGCAATGGGACGGGACGGGGGCGTTGCGCGGCGGGTTTGTCCTTGTGCGGGTGCGGTGCGGGTTGAGCCTTTTCTAAAAAAAATCTAACGCGGGGCGGGGCGGGTTGTCGGTTTTCTCCCTTCACATTTGGAAACTGACTATGTTTGAAGGAAAACTTGCTCCAATCTGTTAATTAAATTGAGTTTGAACGTACGTGGTTCTTATGGGAAGAAAAATTCGACCCATATGTAATATCAGATTTTCTTGCTAATTTTGATACGTTTCAAGAAAAATTTATTAAAATAAAATAAAATCAGACAGAAAGCCATAAAATTCATTACTTTCCAGTAATGTCTGGACTTGTAATTTTCCTTCTTGGAAATTAAATTTTTAGAAACTGCACCAAATATAAAATTAACTAGAATAAATTAAAGCTTAAGAAAATAATAAGAACGAAATTTCGTATAATATTGAAACATATTTAAAGATGATACATTTGATATATGTATTTGTGTGTGTGTGTATATATATATATATATATATATGAAGAAAACATTCTTTAACTTATACAAGTAAATAAATATAATAATTATAAAATAACTGTAGACGCCAAAACAGTAAACTGATCAAAGAAAAGCAAAAAAATAAAGATAATTTTTTTAAAAAAAATTAAGCGGCAGGGGGCAGAGCGGGGAGTAGCCTCTCTAATTCCTCGGGGTAGGGGTAAGGTCTGCGTACACACTACCCTCCCTAGACCCCACTAGCGGGATTTTACTGGGTCATTGTTGTTGGTGGGGGGGGGGGGGGGTTGGGGAGCGGGTTGACGCGGGGCGGGATGGACGGGACGGACGGAACGGGTTGAAAACAGATAAAAAGGCTGTGCGCAGGTTGGAAATTTTGTGGGTTAAGCTCAAACCCGCCCTGCACCCGCCCCATTGTCATCCCTAAAAATTTCCAATGTGGGACGCTAAACCTACACATAAACTATCTAAAATAAAATATAGACCGTAAATATTGATCTAAGACCGAAAGAAGGAACATCAAGGAAGTTAAACATTTTGAATCATGGAAAACACCAACCTCTCATCGCATGTAATTGGAGTAGCAGCAGCTATAAAAGCTCTCTCTATACGCCTCAAGATTGGGGTGGCAGCATTCATAGCAGCTAATACTGGCACACCCAGAATCGGTAACAACCTACAAAACACAAAAAAAATGCTACAGAAATTCATCCTATGGATTAACAATTATTTTTGAGAGAGAGAGAGAGTGTGTGTGTGTGTAATGACTCCATAGAGTTTACTTGAAAAATGATTGGTACAAGCAACCTGTTACACTACTAATAAAAATTATCATAATATTAAGAAGCAACCTACTACTTTACTCCCTCAATCTCAAAGTTACTTGACCTGTGTCTCTTTTTCATTTCTTCCTAGTTTACTCACTCACTTCTCGCCAATACCAAAGCTAATACAACCTCATACCATTGTTATTATATTAACACTTCTGCCTAAATTAATTTCCATGCTTGACAAACTAGGTCATCCATCTGGGTTAGCAGTGTAAACTACTCCGCATATGTACTAGCTTGTTCTAAGCTACAACTATAGTTTTGGAGGTGCTCCATCAAAATTGCCAGTATACTGAACAACATACATAGCTAGGAAGAACTATGAAAGGACCAACAACGAGTTACAAGAAGGAAACACTAGGATCAAAATTTTAAAGTTGGAGGAATTGAAACCAGATGTCGAACAATAGAAATGCTTAACTGCACAGGGAAACCACAAACTAGATGCCCCTTCCCTCCGCATAGATCAATAAAATCAAAATGAATTTTATTTTGGCCAACCACCCCCCCCCCCCCCCTCCCAAGCACAAAGAAATGATATTTGGTCTTACCCATATTAGCTCAATAGCCACCTATGCAAGTTCTGCTTGCAACTGTTTCTATTAACTGCCAGGAGTACGGTTACCTGAATCACAGATGAGCTCCGACAAGTTTTCGCCAACCTGGAACAAACAATATTATTAAACAAGTTTATCCTGATCCAAACCACCAAGGTCCAAAACTGAAGACCACTGTATACAAAACTGATTTATCTGTGGCCAAAGACAGCTATAGCGCAGGTCTTGAACATATTGAAATTCAGGTTAGACGAAATCTGAATAAATGTTCAGTGACTATTCGACTTGGAAAATGAACTAAGATGAAATTCATAGGACAATCAAACATCTAGTACAGATGCAATATGACACACATTCGTTGCCATTATATGGACCACATATAGAAAGGCTTCTGGAAACCAGACAATGCCCTGGAAAACCTGAAAGGGTAGTTCTTTTTTTCCCTTGATCTCCTAAAAGGTTATCTAAGAGATTGGAAATTTATTGTATATACCATGTGATTTTATCCGTCACCTCGTTCTCACATACTCTTCTCCACTGCTATCTTTGTCGGACACTGTGACGTAGCTATTCCAAATTTTCTGATATGTTGAATCTAGATGCAAAGAAACTTCTGTCCAAACAGACTCCTATAAGTCACTTGAACAGATACCAAAAAGCCTAACGATTATGTAGAACACAACACAATCTTGGAGTCCTAATTGCTTCTTTTTCACTCTAACAACCTTTCAGAGTACTAACACTTCAAATTCCCCATGTTTTAATAGAAATGAAGGGATGCTTGATTAAGAGTCCATACTGGAATTCATAAGGATTCATTGTACCACAACGTTATCATTTATGTTGACAGAAATTGCACATTAGCAATTCATATTGGAGGGTAAGGATAGTGTTCAATGGGTCCCACATTTGAATTTTTTAATTTTATTTTTTATCTTTTTTCTTTATTGGAATGTATATTTACCATTTTGTACAAGAAAGTTGTTGGAATAGTGTTTGAATTTTAAGGGCAAAACCATCAGGCAGATTTTGATGGATAAATTTGTAATTTAGCTTTTGACTTAAAGTGTTCCCGCTTTTAATATAGTATGATGATTTTCACATTTTAGAAACCACCAAAGCATTTCCATAACAAATGCCACCACATCCACTCCCCTCACTTTGGATATACTCTTGTTTCTTGGGTTCTTTTTGGGGATGAGTTGGGGAGGGTAGGGGGAGAGAAGATGCATGTGCGGTCCTTGGTGGTGGAGTGAGTGAATCACAGGTCTGCTTCAGGCTAGAGAGAGAGAGAGAGACAGGGAACATCTAATCAAACTTAAATAAACTCTTCCTAATCAAGACTTCAAACTTTAATCACATTAACACATTTTAATGAAGAGGTAGAGTAAGTTTTCTTTTTTTCCTTTCAATTTCATCCCTTATTTGTCTGTCGGATCATCATCTGATTTAATCTACTTTGGTCCTTCTCCATCATTCATGTTAAGCACTAGTATCTCCACTTTATCAAAGAAAATAGTGCAGAAGAGTAGCCGTTTCAGATACCCTATTGGTTGGAGATATCCATGAATACGCACAACAAGAATTTTCATAATGGAAATTTACTTCCCTATAATTCATGAAGGATTTGCAGCTGAAATCTAAAAATATGACTATCATTTCACCTGAGTTCAAGATACTACTGCAGAAACAGGTGCTTGAGAAGTACCACTGACTGTACTTGAGAATGTGCCAAGAACTCTGTGCTGCCTGGGACTACCAAAGCAGATTCTTCATTTCAGTTTTCATGCTGGGTGGTAACATCAACACCTCGATTTGGAATGCTCCACTTACATTTCTGTCAATTGTCTCACTCCACTCTGCATTACTTTCTCTAGTCTTGATGAGCTCTTTACTTCTTTCTCTAGTCTCACATCACTCTGAAGACAGATACAATTCCGTTCAGGATGTCAAGATGTACTGTATTCTTCTATTTCATTTTTGGTGTAAAGAAAGTCTTGTAGAGGATATAGAATCTTTGGTAGACATGTTAGGCTTTTTGTAGTTAAGATAGATCAAGATTGATCTATTATTCCCTGCACATATGGCTTTGCACTGCCTTAGTGCCTTTTTATAAATACAAATGTTACCATTCTCAAAAAGAACATCGCTCTGCATTTCTATCTCCAATCTCACTTAAGTCTGCATTTCTGTCTCTAGTCTCCACACCAGGACATTTGCAGATTGGATGGACGCATTTTGCCGTACTTGAGTGGTGAAAGATGGTTTCTTGCTGATTGAAGGTGGAAGACATACGAGACAAATTAACACATTCAGTGCTGTTCAACAGTCTACCAACGGAAAACAAAAAATGAATAAGCATCTATATAGCTGTAAAGGAAACAATGGATAGTTCATTGAGCCCTTACCTCAGGTTCAACATAACCAGCACTGTATGCTGCATCGAGAATAACAGCTATACCCACACAAGCATTATTTAATGTTGCATTTACAATTGGTTTGCGGATATAACGCGTGAAGGTGACTATATGAAGTACGCCCAGAGCATATTGAAGCAAGTCATGCTTATAAAGTTCAACAGTGCCTACTGTAGGGAAAAATAGTCAATAAATAAGAGAACATCTATTAGTACAACAGAGAAACCATTAAAATACATACACTACCTGACATAATTCCAACATGATAATATGCCCGTTAGAACTCAAAAAACTTGTCAACCACAGGCCAAAGGGCCCTTACAAGTTACAAGTGCTGGGCCAAGTTCACGATCTTTCTGTATTTGATGTAATACTGCATCCTATAGCCTCATTACTAATGTCAAGAGGCTTATATAAAGCTCTAACAGACGACATATTTCGGCAGCACTTCATACATATTTATTAGAATGAATTGAATTGACCAGCAACAGAAGATGTGCTCTGAAGTACTGTCCAAGTGTGACACGCGTGATAAGCTATTTGCCTTTCATAGGAGGTCAGCACTTCTGGAGCAGTTAACGCCCCAGAAACTCCAGATCTTACTGATGCAGCACCATGCAGAAGATTAAGCTGTCCCTGTAAGCAGTCCTGAGCATCAAAAGTATCTAGAGCTGCTCTGAAAACGAATGCAGCAGCAGAAAATAAGGCTGTTTTTTTTCCTGGCTTGATCTTGGGGACACTCAAGAAGCTGAAGGGCGCAAGCACGTTCCATTATCCCCTAAACAGTCAGAAGTTAAAGGCTTCACTGAGTCAACAACTAAAACAAAAAGACTCACAAGAACATCTAGAATATGTCACTAAATATTAGGACATAAGGATATGATAAAACCAAGGGCAAAAACCGCCAAACTGTTAAATCAAAGAGTAAAAGGAAAAGAGTACACACACAGCCACCTGAATTGAACCTATAGTGAATAAGCATGAGGGAAGGACAAAAATGTCTGAGGAGCTCTTGGGACAGAGAGCAATTTTTGTACGCCACCACGATCCTCAAATACTGCAGCAAATTTATGATAAGCGGCGAATGTACTGATCAGCATTCAGCTTCTGCATATCAGGAAAAATAAGAGAAATCCTTGAACTCTCTTTATATTTAGAACTTTGCTGCAATAGCACAAGACACATCTATCCCCATTTCGTTCAGCACAGGTCCAAGCACTTCAACATACTCTCCCAAAACAACAAGACATTGTATGCACAACTTCTCTTTCAAGAAGGAAGTTTAAGACCACCAGAGTAAACACATTGAAGAGCGACACTTACAGCATGAGTAAGTGTGAATTATTGATAAACCAAAGAGAAATGTAGAAAGCAGCAGCAAATTCTAATTTCTGTATCAAAGAGAACACTTCCAACCACAGAGAACTCATTATTCCTGTAAAGATGAAATACGATAGAAGAAGAGGTGACAGAGAAGTAAAAACAAAAAAACTGTCAAAAACAAATCACAACAATAAAAATAATAGAGAAGGAAGCTTGACCGACTATGAGTTTTAGTTCTTGAAGGAGGTAATGATTCTCCTTAGGACAGTAGGTTTCCCAATAACAAGTTCCAGGATTGAATGCTAAGTTGTTCAGTACACAACAAATTAAAGATAATTTTTTTTTCTCTAAACTGAATGAGAAAAATAAATTAGTCATAGGTAACTGAGTCTTGTAGTTCTGCAACAAGAAAAAAATGTAAGTACGCTAATAGAGGGAGCTGCAAAATGGGGTAAACGCAAGAGGATATTTGGTTATTGATCTACTAGGGAATGCATCTGGAGTTCCACTAACTCCATTTGCACTTCGTCTCACGTAAATGGTCTATGAAGACATACTTTCAAATAGAGTCAGTGGCATCCTCTCTGCAAAACTGATCTGGAACGAAAGGAAAAGGGAGGGAAGTGGGAGGAGTGCTTCTCCAAATAACCAAACTAGTGCTAACATGATTGAGAACGAAGATACAATTAATGTGAATCTTTCTGGAGAAAACTCAGAAAAATAAAGAATTCATTGATTTCTAACAGAAAAAGCTAGTTTCTTATTCATTTTATCACAAGTTTCAGTTGAAATCCCGCAATCTCTTCTTCAGCACATCCATTGATTTCTTACGGGCACTCTGCTTTGTATTTCTGCTTGCAAGACTTCCAAAGAGTCCATCAGCTGAGTCCTTATACTTGTCGCAGATAGTGGCAACCTTTTTATAATCTAGAGCATTATAGTTCTTCTCCCTTATGACAGGATTCATAAAGTTCTCTGGTTGACTGCTTAGAAGGAGGTTTATCAATTGTCTAGCTTCTAGCAAGCAACTTTTAAAGCTACCATCCTTGTAAACTTCACTCAACCCAGTACTGTGAAACCTCTCATCGGCAAATGACTCCAATACTTTCAAATCATGGTTGATGCTCATTACTGCATTAGCATTGAATCTCTTTATCGAGTCACTGAGAAAAGTTCCCACAATTGAATTGGAGA